CTTACCTTTACAGAGGTACCAAGAGTTAGCATTTAGACCTTATAACTGTGGAGCTGTTCTTGATTTATTTTGCTGTTTATTTTCAGTAAAACCCCTTAGGGCTTGTAACTGGTCTTGGCCTGTATATTTTGATATTTGAATCAGTAAAATCAAAAACAATGTGGATTTGTGTGTCTCTACTGTTATTGGGTTGCATTTTAAAAGTTTACTTGAACTAAGCAGCTTTGGACCAACCTGTTAGAGGGGGAGAACGACATGCACTCCTCACACGCCTCCCCTTCCAGGCCCAGACTGCTCCAGCTGCTGCTGTTCCCATTGCTGCTGAGGAGGAAAGGCACAACAACCATCACTAAAACAAAAAATATAATGTTGAGATATCTTTACAAAAATCTTATTAATTATGACCTTAAACCACACTGAGGTTGATGACCACTCCTAGCTAATCTTACAACTATCAGGTCCAAACGATGAAGGTTTTTCAAACACACATCCCACTGAATGTTCATACAAAGTGTGTTCCTCTGATGTGACATCATTACATTCTTCTTCTCACACAATAATTTTATGGTTTCTACCAAGACAACCAGCAGGCAACAGGAGCACAACAACACACAGCACCTCCATGATTAGGCTGCTGATGTGATCTGGCAACAGTTTCAGAGAGTTTGAACGGAGGGAAAATAATATATCTATAAATACTCCCCGTTAATCTGCATTACATCATCTTTCTCCTGTGCTTTGACTGAGTGACACACAAAGATCTGCCTCACTTATCACGCTCAGTAAATGAGCTCATCCTGGTGTTTTTCTTTGCTGTCATGTCAGAAATGATTCCAACAGGCATTTGAACTGTCTCATGAATTACACATGACAGACTTTGTTCTTGCAGAAACAGAGTCTGAAAGGAGAGAGCACTCGAGGACACGCCTTTAGAAAATATTATGATACATTAACATGATCATTCATGCTGTTGTTTTGTATCATGGGAAAGAATCTCAGAAGTTAGTTTGATTTCCATCGCGTTAGAAACCTTGGCCAGAAATGTAACGGTCTCATTTCCAGAGATGCCAAGAGATTGTGTTGCAGTCAGAACCAGACTTTTGATGTCTGTGAAGAAATAAGGACGAGCAAAACAGAATTATGATTTTTAGAAGAGTTTGTTTTGTTTTAAAAAATTTAAATCACATGGACAACATGAAAACAGGTCTTGATGCATCTATTTTGATAATTTATTTTTATTTTACTGTTATTTAACCAGATCTTGCCTGGGCCTGAAGGCAACCCATTGTGCATATTTTTGTGCTGTGGGGGGGTGGACCAGAGTAGTTGGAGAAAATAAATGCGAGCACAATAAGCACATCTCTGCACAGAAAGAGCCCAGGTTTGAACRGGAATCAAACCCAGGACCTTCCTGCTGTGAGGCATCAGTGCTAACCATTGATCTGTATGACTGGATTGGACTNGGAATCAAACCCAGGACCTTCCTGCTGTGAGGCATCAGTGCTAACCATTGATCTGTATGACTGGATTGGACTTCACGTGACTTATCGTGCACCGCACAGGAACCACTGCTCTGCACTGAGTCATGTCAACAAAACAGTAGAGTTTTAATGTGGAATGAGCGTCAATCTGTCACAAAAATATTCATAGCACCCTCATTTCTTATCTGATTTCTATAAATATGGCTTCAATTAAAGCTGAGAAAATTGCCGATGTTGTGATATGTAAAAATATGTATTTGCTCCAGAGATAAATCTATAAGCAGTCTGGGAACTTTTCATTATAGGTTTTGCTAACGTATTTACAGTAGAAGCTCCTTTCATCACATAAAGACCTGCAGCAAGAGGCATCATAAAACAAACTGAATTAACTTCTCTTTGTGGTTAAATATATATTTTAAACAAATAAAAGGTTTCTACTGTTTCACGTAGAGTTAAGATCAGGACTAAAAAAAGACTACAGTAATCTGAATCCAAGCGGACATATTTTAAATACCATTTGATGTGATCASGTTTTAATTTAATCCTCACAGCTTTAAAATGTTCCTAAGTTCATAAAGACCTCAGCATTTTTGTCTTGGTGGGGAAACTACCTGTGGATGTTCCCAGACAGAAGCATCAACCCACCCCGGGCTGMAGAGGTGTCTGGAAGTCCTGATGTGAAAAACCCCACCGCAGCAGAGGCACTTGTCTTGACCAGGAAACAAATGCAAAATTAGAATTTATA